TTGCTTTTCAGACTGGAGGCCTGTGACCAGCAGTGTGCCACACGGATTGATGTTGGATCAGCAGGCCAGGCAGCATCAGAGGAGCAGGAAAGCCGGGACCCTTCTTCAGAAATGGGGGAGGCAAAGGGGGCTCTGAGCCTACAACCCAATGGTCTCAATGTGGACTTTACTAGCTTCAAAATCTCCCCACCCCCGACCTCATCCCATGACCAGCCCTCCCTCTCATCCCTGCCTCCTTGACCTGTCTGTCTTCTCTCCCACCTATCCGCTCCTCCCACCTCACTGACCAACCCCCCACCGTTGCCTACCTGCACTCACCTATCACCACCCCACCTACCTTCCTCAGACCCCCCCCCCCCCCCCCCTCTTTTTTTCCGAGCCCCCCTACCCCCCCCCCATTTTTGAAGAAGGGTCCCGACCCGAAACGTCAGCTTTCCTGCTCCTCTGATGCTGCCTGGCCTGCTGTGTTCCTCCGGCTCCACACAGTGTTATCTCTGACTCCAGCATCTGCAGTTCTTACTACCTCTGAGGGTAAGATGAGAAATGTTTTTAAGTAGGAAGTTGTTATGGAATGCACTAAACGAAAGGAATGATAGAAGCAGATTCAGTAGAATCTTTCAAAATGCAATTAGAACATAGGACTTAGGAGCACAGTAGGCTTCCCTGCAATTACATATGATGGTGAGATCTGGTAGTGTAAACACATTGCTATTAGGGATGGAATTTCAAGATTTTGACCAGCCAAAGTCAGGATGGAGTGTAGCTTGGTAGGCAAACTGCAGGTTGTGATGTTCCAATGCATTATTTTGTCTAGGTGGCATGGATTGTAGGATTGGATCATTTCTGATTCTTCTAAACCCCAGTGGGTATAGGGACAACATCTTAAAAAGATAACCCCTTCAATCTCAGGAGTGAGTTGAGTAAATTAGATGTATACTTGAAAAGGAATAATTTGCTGAGGACAGAACACAACAGTAGGACTGTAGTTCTTTCAGTAAGCTGGCATTAACTTGACACATGACTTCCTTCTGTGTTTTAGGATTCTGAGAGCTGTACTTATCTAAAATGGGAATATAAATTAGGTTACATTAACACAGATACTGTTCAAAGCTAAAAAGAATGTATTGCATAAAGCACGGACCAGAGTCTATTTGGAGTACCACACGCTTACTGTCAATCATTAAAGTTAATGCAATGTTTCAAATTATTCACCAATACTGAACAGGTATCTCATGTGCTACAAAAGCATCATGTTTATATTTGCAAAAAGAATGCAATAAAAAAAAAAAGCCACTGTAAGCAGGTTGTGAAAAAGTGCAGGAAAGCTGACCAACTAATCCTGAAAGAAAAGGAATTAATTTTGTGTGGAAGAATGCTCAGGAAACTAACTCCTACTTAAGGCCATGTTGGCTCAAAGAACGGTAAGCGTCAGACTTTAGTGCTACAGAAAATAGCATAGCAATACATGAGGATGCAAAAAAATACTGAACCCTCATAACCACCCTAAGTGACAAAATGTTGCTTTAGCATAGATTCTTACTTTATGGAACAACTCCACAAACATGAAGTTAAAAAAATGTTAAACAGCATGGGTAGCCATTTCAAGCTTCTGAAACAGCCAGGACAGATACCAGCATTGGGCAACATGTACAGAGAGAGCACTCTGACATTTATTGCTTGGCAGAGAACCAGATAACATCTTGTTTCCCATTTTAAACATGAAATGAAAGAGATTATCTGCAGAAATCCCACACAGAAAAGATCTGATCAGAGCCAGCAGGTAGGGAAAAAAGAACTCCAGTAATTCAGGGGGCACATTTATTTTATACAGAGACAGAAGAAGACACTGACATTTTGATGCTAAAAAAGGCACATTCCTTCTGGCAACCTAGCCTTGCTCTCCTGTGGAGGGTCAGAACGAAGAAGTTCCAACATTTTGCTTCAATTCAATACATTAATAGCAGAGCAATGATCATTTTTACCATTAAGCATGTGCTGGTTTGTGTGCTGGCCATCTTGCAAGGTCTGGGCACCTTTCCTGCCACTAGGACCTGGAGTCCTTGTAGCTGCTGAAGCAAGGACCTGAGAAACAAAATAATTACCACTCTTAGACAGTGACAGTAATGAGTTTGTGTTTTATGACTAAACAGACATTTTTCCAATTCAGATTCCACCTTCAAGGTTAACTTTCGGAGAACCCAGAAAAGCATCCATGTGAGAGAAATCAATGCTAGGTAGATAGCTTTCTCTTCGAGAAACTCTGTGCCAGTTTCACACTAGACACTGATGGACATTGCTTTAAATATTAAAAGCTGGCAGATATCAATACTGAAGAATAAGAGCAACTGCGACAGACTAAGAATGCACACGTTTAAAACAAAGACTTGAATTTATATAGTGATAAAAGGACTTCAGTTATGTGGAGAGATTAGAAGGGCTAGGATTGCCCTCTTTAGAGCAGGGAAAATAGTGAGGGAATTTTAAGAGGAGATATATTTTCTGGGTTATGGGGAAAACAAAAAGAATATAGAACAAAAAGAGGAACTCTTTTAAATTGGGCAGCACAGAGTAAGGGAACAAATGGCCTTCTAAAAGTACTTTTTATTATAATCAGCCTGCTCTGACATGTTTATAATACACCTCAGTGCCAGATGGGACTCTAATCGGGCCCAAAGGTAGGGTCACCACCACTACACCATGAAAGCCACTCAAGCAGCCTTTTTACGCTGCAAGATTCATTAATGCTGTTACTCATAGGAAAGACAACTGCTTGTGACTTGAAGTTCAAATACTGTTAGTGATCAATGACAGAAGAGATTTTTTTTGCAGGGACATAGGCAATTCCAGTACCTACAAATATGCAAAGTAACATTGTCCATTATCTAGATACCAAGTCTACAAACACTCCAATGGCAATGATCCAATCTATAAAAGCCAGAAATAGATCTATGCATGTATTAGAAGGATGGACTTATATTTTGACAGGTGTATTATTCAAACAAATTATGGGAGGCACTGGTCTACATGGCATTATCACTAGATTATTAATTCCAAGACCCGGGTCATGTCCTGGCAACCCAGTTTTGAATCCTACCATGGCTGATGGTGAAGTCTGACTCAAAAACAAATCAAAGAGTCAAATGATGTCCATGAAACCACTGTCAATCAGAAAAACCCATCCAGTTCACTCACATCTTTCAGTGAAGGAAACTGCTGTCCTTACCTGGTCTTGCCTAGATGTAACTCTAGGCCCACAACAATGTAGCTGACTCTTAACTGCCCTCTGGGCAATTGGGGATGGTCAATAAATCCTGGCTTAGCCAATGACACCCACATCCCATGAATAAATTAGACAAAAATCTCCAACCACAGTACAATGTGCATCACTATGAATGGCTGGGTAGCAGCATTATTGACCAAAGTGAAGTCAAATCTGCCAGGAGGCCAGGTGACCAAGAAAATGGGCCATGTCCTCACCAAGCACCTGTTGTAGATGCACTGATACTTGACATTGCCAGTAGCATGAGCCAATGCTGTCTTTGTGGACACAATTCCATTTTCATACTGAAGATACTTTGTCTGGTGTTGTTTGCGTGATAAAATCCTCTATTTGCATCCACTTTTTTGTCCTGAGCAAACCAACGATCTATGACTGGTAACATTTATCAAACAGTTCCAAAGGCCGATAGGTGGCAATGCTGAATTCTGCCCATCATTAGGGGAGAGATTTATTGCAAGGTTTTCTGCAGGTCACTGAGGACATTCAGGGGTCATGGGTTACAAGCAGCGAGTGATGAGAGGCAGACAGATTAGACTCCACATTAGCAGCGCTGCTTTTAGCTATGCTGCTGGGAAGGCAACTGAACCACACAGGATATGTAGAGTGAGGAACAAGGGAAAACCTACAGAAGCTGAATAACTACGTAGTGAAGGGTCAGTGACACCTTGGGAACTCATAACAAACTATATGCATAGTTCAGTACAGCCAAGAGTTGGGATTGTAAAACCTTCCAGCAGTCTCTGCTGGATGCTACTGAGCAAAATTATAACGTGGAAAAATACAGGAATAGTACTGGCTTGGTGTAACTGGCTGTTTATGAAAAGTTGGCGTTGTCCCTGTCAAGGAGAATGATTTCCAGATTCCAGGGGAGATTCGACTCAGAAAAGGAGGATAAACATTCAGAGCTGGAGCAGACCATAACGGATAGGCTTGAGAGCGAGTTTCAATGTTGGATTGGCAGAAGTCAAGAATTGAAATCCCATGCGAAGTTTAATGACCCAGCATGTCATTACTATTTGGAGTGGGGGGTAGGGGAATTGCTAAGAAGTCTGCAAGATCTTTCTTGATCCCTTTTGCTGTTTCATATGGGGCATTGAGGGGTGTTTGATCACAGACAATTACCTATATTTACCAGTTAATTCTGAGTGACAGAAGCATGTACTGATTGTATTACTGATTTAATTTTGTACAGTAAAGTTGTTGCTGTTTGGTAAAATCCATAGGATCTTGTGGCTTTGTTGTTGTCTTAGTAAGTTTCCTGGACCTCACACTTGGTCTACTTTGAAAACAAAAATGCCACTGGTCCAGATTGTAACAGAAAATAGGGAGTAAAACTTGTGGTTATTACCACTATGATAAATGAGATAAATTCAGATTAAAAATAGCATTCAAAACTGGTATTGAGTCACTGGGGATCATCAATGGCACAAGAACTGCGTTGCACCACAACACAGTAAACTCATGACCTGGATATTCCTCACTCAGCCATTACAATAAGCTGAGGGATCAACCTTAGCTCAAACAGCATTGCAGATATTCTGAAAAATGATGGTGCCAACATGGTTAGGCTACATCATAGAGTGATAAGCATAGAGTAATACAGTTAGACAGCATGGAAGCAGACCCTTCGGTCCAACACATCTGCACCGATCAGACATCCCAAGCAGAATTTGGCCCATATCCCTCTAAACCCTTCCTATTCATGTACTCATCCAAATGCATTTGAAATGTTGTAACTGTACCCACCACCTCTGGCTGCTCATTCCATACACATACCACCCTCTGCGTGGAAAAGTTGTCCCTCAGATCCCTTTTAAATCTTTCCCCCTCACCTTAAATGGATGCCTTCTAGATTTTGACTTCCCTACCCTGGGAAAAAGACCTTGGCTATTTACCCTATCCATGCCCCTTGATTTTATAAGCCTCTATAAACAATGGAAACAGTTACAGACAGAGGTAAATGATACACAAAATCAAAACTGAACAGTCCTCAGCCCCACATCCAATCTTGCTAGAGTGGACAATTAACTAACTAATGAGAGAAGGTGACTTCACCACATTCCCAACACGTCTGTGCAAAGGACAAAGCTGAAGTGTTTGTAAGAATCCTCTGACAGAAGTGCCAAGTCGATAATCTAGACTGACATCAGCATCACAGATGTCAATTTAAAATGTGAAATAAAACAAAGAACTCTGGGTGCTGGAGATCTGAAACAAACAGAAATTGCTGGCAAAATGCAGCAGGTCTGGCAGCATCTGTGGGGAGAAAGTAGAGTTGATGTTTCAAATTCGGTGACTCTTCTTCAAAGCATTATCTTATAGAGAATCACCTGACTTGAAATGTTACTCTGCTTTCTCTCCACAGATGATGCCAGACCTGCTGAGTTTCACCAGCAATGTCCATTTTTGTGTCCATTTCCCAATTTGATTCAATTCAAATGATATCAAGAAACAACTAAAGTCATTGGGCACAGCAAAGGCCATGAGCCCAGTAATATAGATCGTAGTGCTGAAGAACTAGCTGCACCTCTATGTCAAGCTGTCCCAGTCAGCTGCAACACTGACATCTATCACATTACTGGCCATCCTGGGGAGGGTTACCATCCACCTGAAACTGAATTAGACCAGACATATAAATACAAGAATTCTGCAGTAAGTCTCCTTCTGATTCACCAAAGCCTGTCCACCATCAAAAGGCACAAGTCTGTGACAGAATGTTCCCCACTTGCCTGGATCTGTGCAGCTCCAACAACACTCAAGAAGCTTGACAGCATCCAGGAAAACAAGCAGCCCACTTGACTGGCACCACATCCACAAACATTCACTCTCTTCCCCCACTGAAGCTTGTATGGCACCACAAACATTCACTCCTTCCACCACTGGTGCTCAATAGTAGCAGTGTGTATCATCTACAAGGTGCACTGCAGAAATTCACCAAAGATCCTCAGGCAGCATCTTCCAAACCCATGGCCACTTCCATCTAGAAGGACAAGAGCAGAACATACATGGAAGCACCACAACCTGCAAGTTCCTCTTTAAGCTTGTCACCAACCCGATTTGGAAATATATTGCCGTTCCTTCAGCATCACTGGGTCAAAATCCAGGAACTCCCTCCCTAATTGCATTGTGGATTTAACCACAGTCTGTGGACAGTAGCGGTTAAAGAAGGAAGGTCACCACTACCTTAAGGGCAACTAGGGATGAGTAAAAAATTTTGGCTCAGCCAGTGATACCCACATTCATGAATGAATAAAAATAATTTTGTGGCTTCAAGAGCCAGTTTAAAGGCTGGGAATTCTATCCACTATGTACAAGTCAGGAGTGTAACAAAATACTGTCCACTTGCCTAGGTCAGTACTGCTCCAACAAAACACAAGCAATTTGATACCAGGACTAAGTTTTGAGATGCAAGTAGCTCTGGTTCAAATAGTAATTAGACTGTAATAAGGGAGCAAATGAATATCAAGGAAAATAAAAATACATAGGAATAATTGCTTGATAGTGCAGAACTTCAAAACTGTTAAAAAGGGGACTCAAAGTTGAAACTTTTCATCTTGCAGTTATCAGGACTGTGACAGGAGACTTTGAAATGGACCACCAATTTATACATAGGCTTGGTTCATTAAATCATGGCTGGCATGGAGATACAGCAAGATTTGTGAACTGTCAATTTTAGCTAGTTGACTAACCGTCAGACCTAATGAGTTAGCTAAAATTAACAGTTAACAGTTCTTGCTGCATCTCCATTCCAACAATGGCCCAACCAACCAATTAGTACCCTCTTATCATGCTGTATAAATCGGTGTTTCCTTTCAAAGTTTGGTTTCTTGTATTCAAGTCCTGACAAAAATCTTTGACTGTGTCCCTTTATAGCAACGCTTAAATATGTGGAGGCATTCTCACCTGTTTGCTTTTTCCAAATTTTCCACCTTTCTACGGAGTTCACTGTTTTCATTTGAACAAGATTCCACCCTGGTAAGAAGGAGGATGGGATATTGGTGAACAAGAAGGTTATCAATCTTACTATTTAGGAAAGGGATTGACAGCTTTATTGAACTTATCCTGCTATTGAGGGGACAGATAATAATTTATCAGTTGACTATTTCCAAAAGGAAGTGCATGCATTCCGTCAAACCTACTGTTAAAGATAGGTGGATATACTATTCGATTTATCTTTCTCAAATGGATTGTTCTTCTTTCCAAACAAATAAGCAATGTTGCACAGAAAAGTAAGAACTACAGACGCTGGAGTCAGAGATAACTCACTGAAGCTGGAGGATCACAGCAGGCCAGGCAGCAGAGGAGCAGAGAAGTTGATGTTTCGGTTCGGGACACTTCTTCAGGTCCCGACCCAAAACGTCAGCTTTCCTGCTCCTCTGATGCTGCCTGGCCTGCTGCGTTCCTCCAGCTCCACACTGTTATCTCTGACCAATGTTGCTCTTGCGTTAGTTTCAGTTCTAATCCAAGCAACCTTCCAATTCTAAATTGGTTTGGCCTTGTTCCTCCTTACAGCTACCATGCTAAGCCAGACAATTCAGTTAAATGGGAAGATGAAATCTGTACACAACCAGTTCAGTTAGAAGTGGCACCATTTTCAGACCCATTTGATTATATCAATCTCAATACCTTGGATAAAAATATACAATGCCACCTCAACACACTGTTACAGAGGCAAGAGACAGAATCCTTCCTATCATTGTGATATCCAGACTGGCCAATAAATTACTTTCGAAGTGCAGTTACCTTTGTTATTTATAAAACGTGTCCAGTCAATATACAAGCAGCTGAGTCGAGGTGAAAAATTATTCAATACAAAACTATACAAGAGCTCATTAGCTGCCAAGTTATGAGGAATACTATGACTTTACACAGTCAAAGGCTTACTTCTTTTCCAGTGTATCCATGTATTCTTTTTTCTTCCTTCTGCTTTCTTGGGCAGAGATCTGCAAAAGAAACAAACATTATCACAGGTTGTTTGCGATCAGAGAAAATCTGATCACGTGAACTGATGATAGGCCTTCATGATTTACAATCATTAATCCTCACTTAATATGTACCATGATAAGCACAGTCTAAAATATATAATATAAATAAGAAAAGATTTATAAAGGACGTTGCCAGGATTGGACGGTTCGAGTTATAGGGAGAGGCCGGATAAGCTGGAACATCGGAGGCTGAGGGGTGACCTTACAGGGGTTTATAAAATCAAGAGGGGCATGGTTAGGGTGAATAGTCAAGGTCTTTTTCCCAGGTCAGCGGATTCCAAAACTAGAGGGTATAAAGTTAAGGTGAGAGGGGAAGGACTTAAGGGACTCGAGAGGTAACTTTTTCACACAGACGGTGGTGAGTGTATGAAACAAACCGCCAGAGGAAGTGGTGGAGATGGGTACAATTACAACAGTTAAAAAGCATCTGGATGGGTATATGAATAGGAAAGGTTTAAGAGGGATATGGGCCAAATGCTGGCAAATGGGAGTAGGTCAGATTGGGATGTCTGGTCAGCATGAAGGAGTTGGACCAAAGGGTCTGTTTCTGTGTTGTATAACACTATGACTCTAATTAAAGGAAGACTGACAGTGAACTTTTACACCAGTGAAATTTTACACCAGGCTGGTATCATCTTGCACAGCATAAACGTTGTTTTCTGCTTATTTTTATATTTCTTGCAGTATTTCTTGAGTGCAAGATGCAAAGCTTTGACAGACCGCATCTTGCTTTCAGCAATACACATTTATCTTCTGTTACCTTGTTCTTAATTTTTCTGCGTATCTTCTTGAGTGCCTTCTCTTCTGCTTTTGTAAGTGGTAGTTTGACAGGGACCGGGTATCCTTCAGCAATTAGAGTCCGTTTCTCTTCCTCTGTTAGTATCAAAGGTCCTGATGAGCCTTGTAGCTTCTGCATCAAAGGGAAGTTTGGTTATCTCATTTTAAGGACTTTCATTCAATTCTAACTATTCACCAGTCACAGGACTGAGTTGTTTCATATTTGAACCACATGTAAAATTAGATTCTGGGTCGTGGAGGTAAGGCCGAAAGCACAAGACCAGGTCAGCAGTGAATCACAGTAATTTTGAGAGGTCAGAAAAAGCATTCAAACTCCTTTTAGCTTAAACTAAAAAGGAGAAAATTTTTGGTGTTAAAATGGGGTACGCCCAGAGCCAGAATAGTTTCAAAAATTACCCATGATTCGGTTTTAAGCTCCATATTCAAATCTCTGCCTGTTGTCATCATATCCAAAGGTACAGGCAATGCCCTGATAGCACCCAGCTTTCCTCTCACAGTGGCAAAAGATAGGAAGATTGGACTATTACTTAGTACCAGAAGTATGTTGCTTACATGTGGTGCGGTGAGAAGAGGAGAGCTGGACAAAGCAGATGGTGCACGGGTTATGCATTTTCCCGTGGGCTGTGGCTGGATAGGATCTGGTGGTTGAACAGAACGAGTTGGACTTTGCCCGCCCTCACAATCACTGCCATGGCTGCTTGGTGGTGTTGGCGGTAACTGTAGGATATCTGCTCCTGCTGCAAAGGAAAACAAATATCACAGTCACCGTACGAACAGGGGCTCAGCCTATGTCATGGTAAATTGTCTTCAGGACAGAGTGAACCAACTGACAAATGCAAGAGAGTTTAACTCTATTTACATTATTCCAACAGTGACATAATTTACATACATTAATTGCAGGGCCCGGGTGGGTGGGGGAGGGAGGGAAAGAGACAGAGACAGAACGCACGCACAAGTGAGAAAAAGACAGCCTTTCTCAACCTCAACTCAGCTCTGTAACAAGATGTTGAAAATGCATCGAGACGGATTGCTTTTTCCATTTATTGGGATACCTTAAATGAAAAACAGGGACCCATAGTGCAAAGTAATATTGTCAGTAGTTGAAATAGCAGTAGAGAGGGCCAGAATCAAAAATTCATGGTCATATGACACCAAGTTTGAAAAAAAAAACATCAACTTCTCTCTTGTACGTCTGAACAGACTACAAGAGAAATGAACAACAAGCCTTGCAAATATGGGAGCACAGGAAGAGAGTTTCGTGGCAGAGAAAATAAGATTCTTGCATGTAGCATTAGAAATTGAGAAGACGCAAGTACTCTCCTGGAAAACAGGGGTCATGATGAAATATAGGATATAAAGTCGTGAAGGAGAGCTGAAAGTGCAACTATTATATCCAAAATGGCATTTAAAACTGGAAACACTACTTGTAAAAAAAAAACTGAAAGAAGCAAGGTTTCTATTCCCAACAAATGCAGAGAAGATCAAAATGTCATAATTCAATTGAGTGAACTTTTGCATAACATTTTAGGTGCACATCAAGTGTAGATCACATACGTAAGTATATCCCCAATAATAATGTAAGAGGGATTTAGGAACGTCAATCAACCTGTACTTAAAATGTACATTGTCTTGAAGCTTTCTAGCAAACACAAACGATACAACAGTCAGCATGAATGTGCACCAACTTATCAAAAAGAAAATATGACGTGGGTAGGCAAACAATTCCTGTCCCTCCATCATTATCCTTGAGGTGCTGTTGATGAGCTGCCTTCTTGAGCAGCTTCAGTCTGAGATGTTGCTCATCCACAGTGCCGTGAGGAAGGTAGTTCCAGGATTCTGACCCAGTGTCAGTGAGGAACAGCAACATATTTCCAAGTCAGGATGGCACATGGCTTGGAGGAAAACATGTAGGTTGTAGTCTCCCAATGCATCTGCTACCCTGGTTTTTCCATGTGGTAGAAGTCATGCATTTGGAAGATGCTGTGAAGGAATCTTTGTGATTTGCTGCAAAGAATGTCCACTTGTCAAGAAAAAAAATATGGGGCGGCACAGTGGCTCAGTGGTTAGCACTGCTGCCTCACAGCACCAGGGACCTGGGTTTGATTCCACCCTCGCCGACTGTCTGTGTGGAGTTTGCACATTCTCCCCATGTCTGTGTGGGTTTCCTCCGGGTGCTCCGGTTTCCTCCCACAGTCCAAAGATGTGTAGATTAGGTGGATTGGCCATGCTACATTGTCCGTAGTGTTTAGGGATGTGTAGCTTACGTGGGTTATAAGAGGATGGGTCTGGGTGGAATGCTGCAAGAGTCGGTGTGGACTTGTTGGGCCGAAGGGCCTGTTTCCACACTGTAGGGATTCTATGATATCTATGATGAATCCTGCAGATTGAACAATGCATTCATGGTGGAGGGAGAGAGTGTTTAAGGTGATGGATAGGGTGCCAATCAAGCAGGCTGCATTATTCTGGACGTATTGACCGTCATTTGAGTTGCACTCATCTTGGCAAGTAGGAAGAATTCCATCACACTCGTGAATTGTGGATGGTGGACAGGCTCTGGAGAGTCAGCTATTCCAAAACCCCAACTAATACCCTCCACCTGCATGTAAAGATAGTTAATACACAACAAGCACAGGATATCTCTGTTCATTTTGGTTTCCTGATTTTCTTTGTTTAAATATCAATGTAATTTTTCCTGCTCCCTTCCTAAAGGCAGGAGCAACTGTAATTGAAATCAATAAGCATCCGTCACTCTCCTACACCTTGGCTGACTGGTCATTATGCATTTGTGAGCTTTATCCGTGAATGTGGCCAGACTGCTTAAGCATGTAGCTATCACACACAAGACTGAATTTGTCTTCATGTGACATATACAGAGAATAACAGCTTGCAATGCAACTGGTCCAAATCTGCATATTTATATTTAGATTCTGACATTATCTCAATCGTCAGGGATTCATTTCACAGACTTTATTCTTCTTGGTTTGCCTTCATTAAGGGAATAAGTGACATCCACAGAAACTAAGACACATTTTACGCATTGGAAATTCATTGGCTTGCATTTCTTCTTTTTTTTTTCTTTAGACAAAATTTTGGTGCCACAGTTTCATGTCCCTACTACACAACAGTATTATAAATCTCAAATATACTTTCTTCAGTCAATGTGCAGTTTTACAGATTACATTTGATCAAATTTAACTTTAAATTCCACCGCCTGAATGATCTCCTATGAAGAATTAACTAATCACTCAGCCCAATTTGAGTATATGCTACAGTTCAAAAGGCATGGAACAATGCTTCAGTTTATCAATTAAACATCTCACCTTCTTTTGGAGCCAGATTGAGGAATTGGTCCACCTCATGTGGTTCCAGTTTGATCTTTGGAACAACCTTCGATGTGCACATTTTAGTCTAAAAGAACACAACATCAGCAGTGTGAAGTATTGATCACAAAAAGCACAGTTTAAAAGAAACGTTCAGTCTCTAGTGAAGAGAAATTCAGACATCATTAAAGTTACTGGAATATGTGCATGAAATGACCTGATAGGGTGCACACGTGGCCTCAGTTGAGAGATCTACAAATACTATACAAGTGTACATTCGAGTACAAGGAAATCAGTTTTTGGCTCGCAGCAATATAATTTTGTTGGATCCCTCATGTAAAGTCAACCCTAGATTTTCAGGAATCAATCTGTATTGTAACTGTTAATTACTTACTGGTGTGTCTTTATTGTGGCTTTAAGAGATGTATTTTGTCCTGGTTTCTTTGAGAGAGATTGGGGGTGGGGGGAAAACAGGTGATGAGCAGTCTATGAGAAGATAAACAACTTGTATAGCCTTGGGTTTTTTTTTTTAAATGTTAACAGCAATAAAAGCAGCCTGAATGGGTGTGGTCAAGCTGTCACCCACAGAACCAGTATCTTTAATTTAGCTTTCAGCAGTTGCTGCTGGGGTCTTGAAGAGGTAGAAGCAGTTTTTCCCCTTCTCTCGGGTTGAGCCACAAGCTGGGGGTTCTCTGCCTGCTATGGGAGTTGCATGTGAGACAATCCATTCTGAAGTTGCCTTTTGCCAAGGGCATTTTTATGGGATGTTATTAATCATCTGTTCCAATATAGTAATAGTTGCTGTATCTATTGTTTCTTTTGTTGCATTTTAACTGTAGTGTTTGAATAAGTTATGTTTTGCTTAACATCAAGTAGTTTTGACCAATCAAATTGCATCTAGAACACAGCACCTGACATTTATCTCTAAATAAGATAAAGTTAGGGTCTAGGCTACCTTCTTAATATATATTGAGGGGACTGGTCTAGTCCATAACACTGGTAATTACCATTTTTCATTAATTTTCAAGCCAGATGCAGGAACCTTTAGATATCCCTCCGACAATTCTAGTGGCGATCTCCCAGACAATCAATCAATAAGACTATGTACCAAACGCCTTTGAGAAAGAATAACTCGTATGGAGCACAATTTAAACTGGAGAAATAAGCAGCAGAATTGCTTAATGAGTGTCATAACCATCAGACTATGTGCTCAGTGAATTGTCAAAAAAAAAAAAAATTGGTCTTTTGGAATTCAAGCTCAGTATCAGGTCGGAATCAGCTCAAGATTCACCAAAAAGGCACAGTCAGAAGACAAATTCACAGCATCTGCTATCTGAACTCATCGATAAATTCCAAAAATATACAAAATTGAGAAATGAATGTGAATTGATTGGCCTGGTTTGAAAATATGGATGAAACCACCAGTGACCCAGCAAACAAGACTGTTACCAAGACTGGTGTAAAAATGACTGAACTGCCTTCTTGTAGACAATCATTCCATTTTCTATGACAGGTGGTACAAAACTAAAGTTGATAGTGATATTCAAACAAAATTCTCCTGAAGAAAATGTCAAAAAAAGGTGCTGCCAGTCATGGTCCTGAGAAAGATGGATAGATGAAGATGATAATAAGAAATGGATTAAAGACCACGAATGAAGAAAAACATTTGCTCATATGGGACACGTACAAATCCCACCTTGTTGATTGTACAAGGTCAACAAAGTGGCAGTAATTCCTGGCAGTCTCATATCATCCAGCCCCTTGGCTGTGTATATAAATAAACCTCTTTGAAGGCAGTATCCAAAAGGTTGCGGAACAACTGCATATTGGAAGGCAAGAAAACATTCACTAAAGATGGAAATGGGTGAGCACTGTCACTGAAGTCAATGGTTTTCTTAAAAAAAAAAAATTCATTCATGGGTCATGGGCATCGCTGCCTAGACCAGCATGGTCACCAATGCCCTGTAAAGCTGAAGCATAGCCTCCCTACTCTTGTATTCAATTCCCTGCACAATAAACCATAACATTCTATTAGCTTTCTTGGTTACTTGCTGTAAAATCTCTGTTCAATTGGTAGGTGTCAGTATCTGCTAGCAGTGCATCTGCTTTCTCTATGTATTGAGCTCCATTAAAGATCACTATGCTTCCTTTGTCCGCCGGTAGGATTACGACATTTCTGCCTTTCGTGAGTCTTTCCAGGGCTTTCTTCTCTTCTGTGTTGAATGTGTTCCACTTACCATCAAACAGACAATAGTCCCAACACTGAGTGGAAAAGGTCCATTGTATTTCCTCCAGGAGTCCATTGCTCCTCAATGTCGATTCCAGCGCAGCTAGGAAGTCAGTTTTTTTGGTGTCCCTGTAGTTATAATTCAGTCCATGTACTAGGACAGTCTTCTCAGTGTCTGTAAATGATCGGTCTGAGATGTTCTTGATCCATGTTTCTGAGTTGTCTGTGTTGTTGCTGAGAGTGAGTTCAGATAATTTGTCTTGTAGGACTATTTTTTTTTTTGTTCTGGTCATCTGTTGTTGTATGGTGATGGGCTTGTTCCAGTGTGGATGTTCATTCTTGGTCGGTTACGTTGGAGTACAAAGTTTTTTGGCATGCAATTTCCGCTCGTATTTGTGGAGGCGGTTGTGGGCATCATTGATCATAACCCTTTTCATTCTGCGGCCGTTCTGTACAGCTGTTCTCCGTGCCTGTGGATTGTTGATAGGTGGTTTATATTTTAAGCTTTGTGGTAGTACCTGTTTTCTGAGGCATTCATGCAGGAAGTATAGTTGTTTGCGGTCGCGCTCAGACGGATGGCATTTGTCTCCCATCTGCTGGTATTATACTGACATAATATATTTATCTTATAAATGTTAGAGAATTAAGGTGAATTCTTTTGTGCTGTTACTTTTACTTTATTCTATTGACTGTTTTTTTGGGCCCAAATCAAGCAGGCTGTCAATGCCTCAAAAACATTACCCATGTAAAAGTCAGCTCTGTAACATTTAGCCTAAAAAAGTTTAATTTTCACCCAAGCATTTATGGAAGTTAGAATATAGAAACCAAACAGTACTTCTTGCACATAAATGCATGGATAAGAAGCTATACTAGATTGGTGCCAGAGTGAAGCGTTTCAGTTATGTGGAAAGACTGGAGAAACTGGGCTTGTCATACTGAAAAGCAGAGAAGGTTAAGGGAGATATAATAGACATGTTCAAAACTCTGAATAGTTTTGACAGAGTAAATAGGCAGTTAGCTCAGTTGGCTAGATGACTGGCGTGTGGTTCAGAATAACAAGCAGCACGGGTTCCATTCCGATCCCAGCAGAGGTAGACAAGGGGCCTGCCTCCTCGCCATGGTCAGTAGTAAAATCACAACATAAACCATGGTTCAATAATTCTCAAAATAAAATAAGGGAATGTACTACTTGTAGAAGTGTAGCCTAGTAGGGGATTTAAAATTGCATTTCAATTCAAAGAGAAAGCTGAGAGTGGTGATTAGCCTACCTGGAGAAAATTTAGGGTATTCTCCAAGTTGATAACACTAGAACATTAAACATAAGTTTTTACAGCAAGGAAAGAGGTTCTCACCCCACTGTCTGTACCAGTCATCAACAACCATCTATTCTAATCCATTTTCCATTTATTCCATAGAATAAAGTAAAAGTAACAACACAAAAGAATTCACCTTAATTCTCTAACATTTATAAGATAAATATATTGTCAGTATAATACCAGCAGATGGGAGACAAATGCCATCCGTCTGCGCGCGACCCACAAACAACTATACTTCCAGCACGAATGCCTCAGAAAACAGGTACTACCGGAGTCTATCCAAGAGTAACTTAAAAGTCTCTGACTCCACTACCACCGCCGGCAGCGCATTCCACATGCCCGACACTCTGTGTAAAGAACCTACCTCTGACATCTCCCCTATACCTTCCTCCAATCACCTTAAAATTATGGCCCCTCATAATAGTCATTTCCGCCCTGGGAAAAAAAACGTAGGCTGTCAATTATTGTAAAACAAAATCTGGTTCATTAATGTCCTTTAGCAAAGAAAATCTGCCATCCTTACCTAGTCTGGCCGTCATGTGACTCCAGACCTGCAACAACATGGATGATGTTCAACTACTGTCTGGGTAACTAGGAAGGAGCAATAAAAGCTGGCCTAGCCAGTGACACCCACGTCCAATGAATAAAAAACACACTGTTCTGATGCCTTCAAGGATCTATGGACAAGTACATCAAGACCCCTCTGATACTCTACTTCGTAACGTTGTCCATTCAATGTGCATTTCCTTGCCTTGTTGGCACCCCTAAAATGTAACTCCTCACTTTTCAGGATTAAATTCCATTTGCAACTGTTCAGCCCATCTGACCAACCCATTTCTATTGTCATGTAGCATAATGCTTTTATCCTTGCTACTGACCACACTATTTTCATGTCATTTACAAATGTACTAATCATACCTTCTACATTCATGTCCAGATCATTCCTGTACTCAAAAGAAAAAAGCACCCAGCACTGAACACTATGGCAGGTCATTAGACACAGGCTTCCAGTCACAAAACAGCCTTTGACCATCACCCTCTGCTTCCTGCTACTAAGCCAAGTTTGGATCCAATTTACCAAACTGTCCTGGATTCCATGGGTTCTTAGCTTCTTAACAAGCCATTCAAGACTTTGTCAAAAGCTTTACTGAAGTTCATATAAACTACATCAACTGTACCACCCTCGTCTACACACCAAGGCACTTCCGCAAAAATTCAATCAAGTTTGTTAGACATGACCTTCCCTTTAAAAAGCCATTCTGACTATCCTTGATTAATCTTTGCCTCTCCAAATAGAGAATTTCCGTCTCAGAATTTTTCCACCTTGGACTCATTGACCTGTAGTTTTCTGATGTATTCCTACTACCCTCCTTTAATAATGAATGGTACTACATTAGCTGTCTTCCAGTTCTGTGA